TAAATAAAAGATAATCATTTTATATTGCAGTTTTGGGATAATTATAGTACTAGAATTTGTGATTTATAGATATTTTTTATAAAATATCTTGTAGAGGATTCAACTGGGTGATGCTTCCATTATATAATATAAAAGAAGTTGTGAATATTAGTATATATAAGTATAGGGAAGGTATAAAAATAAGTTGTTTTGCAAGTGTATCAGCTAAGTTATTATAATAGTCATCAGTATTAGCTTGAACTTTGTAAAAATTAATTTGTAAATTATATAACTTAGAAATATTAAGTAATTTATGCCATAGTGGCCAAAAGCTAAATTTAAAAGGTTTGTTAAGGTCATAGGAGTTAATAAGTTTGGAGTATTTAGAAATAATAGATAGTGAAGCAGTAAAGATATTTATAGTAAAGTTACGAGAGGTAGTAGAAATTGCAAATAGAATAGAAAAAAGTTCAGTTTGATAAGAAGATGGCCAGAAGTGAATTTTTGCTAAAAATTTGCATATGATATGGTTGTTGGTGTCCAATTGAACTCAACCTACACCCATCGTACAGTCTTATATGCCAATATCAATTATGAATCTATCAGTATAGAAATTAAATTGAGATTGTGTAGAATTGATAGCTAAAAATTGCTCAAGCTTAGATGTTGATTCTTCTAGCTCAAAGATCTGAGAAGCAATAGATTGGTTAATAAAAATTGAAGGTGGTATTGGAATTTGAATGGGATGTTTAACTGCTGTAAAATAGATAAGGTCTATGTAATTAGCATTAAAGTTGAGATTATTAAAAGAGACTCTTCCAAAGAATTGAGTAGAAATGATGGTTGAAATATTAATAATACAATGATTACTAATTCTATTAAAATTGAGATAGCATCCTAGGTATGGATAGTATTGAACAGTCAGTTATAACTGTGGTTGGTTGGTTATTGAGCAATAACTGGATGGTTATTGATCATGACCGACTATGACTGACCATTACCATCCCTACTTCCAACATATCTAAATCTGTGTTAGTAAGAAACTACTTCCAACATATTTATAACTGTATTAACAAGAAATTACTTCTAACATATTCAAACCTGCCTTAAACTTCGTTATCAAGAAACTACTCCTGACATATGTAAAATTGCATTAGCAAGAAATTACTTCTAACATGTCTAAAACTGTGTCAGCAAGAATTTATGCTTAATATATCTAAAACTGCGTCAGCGTTAGCAAGAAACTACTTCTAATATTTCTAAAACTGCATTAGCAAGAACCTACTTCTAACATATCTATAATTGTGTTAGCAAGAAACTACATCTAACACATCCAAACCTGCGTTAGTGAAAACCTATTTCTAGCATGTCTAAAACTGTGTTAGCAAGAAACTACTAACATATCTTAAACTGCGTTATCAAAAAACTGCCTCGAACATGTCTAAACATGCGCCAGAAGAAACTACTTCTATCATATCTAAAACTGCGTCAACAAGAAACTACTTCTAATATATCTAAAACTGTGTCACTACTTCTAATTAAATAAAATACATATCTTTACCTTATTTTTAAATTAACAAAATAATAATAAATTAAATCTATAATAAATGTTTATATCTTCCATATGCATTACAAGTACCCAAGTACGATTTATATTTTATAGGCAATAATCAAGCTTATTTAATGTACTAGTACAACACAATACATGTTTCAATTATTTTTAACTCCCTTTAAGCAACTCAAGCTCCTAGTTTAAGATAACAATATAAAAGCAGATGATAATTAAGTATTAACGATATGATAATAACTTTAAGGGCATGTGACAAAATAACAGTCGGAGAACGGATCGTAATTCTCGCAAGTCACTGACATGAATGACAATATTTGATTCTTCAAAGGGTTCAGAATCCGAGTCTTAATAAGCCGAATCGAAGTTACAAGTCAATTCAGTTTATCGAATTGAGTCTCGAAGGGTTTATTAAATTTAAAGTCGAATTCAAAAGACAATACACAAGGGAATATTCGGATAAGTATATATTTTATTCAAGAAAAACGAAACAATTATTTAAGGATGGAATGGTATTTTTTATTTAATCATAAAATAGAACTAACAAATTCTAATCTTCATTGCTTTGAACTTTAGGTCTTTAAATACATTTTCAATTTTGGCTACGTTTACACCCCAACTGCTACGTTTACGTATCCACTGTCGCGTCCTACATCACAAAGTTGTTTTTATATAGAATTATGTAGAATTTTTATGTAAAACTATGTAAAAATTTTATGTAGCTTTACAAAACTTTATAAACCCAATGTAGAGTTTACATATCTATTTATATAAATATATATATATTTCTATATAGAATTATGTAAAATAGCAAAAAAAATTTAACTTAAATATTAAAGCTAGGATTAGATTTTAAAGTTTAAATTAGGGGTTTGGGGAAGGTTTTCGACTATGCTGAACATTTTTACTTAGTGCATCGATCGGTGATTACCTTAGTCACTTTTGAGAAATAGCTGAAGTAAATTAATTTATTTTTATATAAATATAAATAAAATTTATATAGATTTATATTTATATAAATAATAAATAAAATTATATATAAAAATTACATAGTTTACATATAAAAATTCTTATTATATAAGTCTACATTGGGTTTGTAGACCTATATAAAAATTTTATATAATATTTATATAATTTTAGAGTTACATAAAGTTTATAAAAAAACAACTTCGTGATGTACCAAGCCACCCATCATTACCGTTTTAGTATGTTATAAAATGTATAAAAGAAATTAATAAATTTACCAAAATTGGACATTGTTACCAAAATAGATGGGGAATTACGTACGTACGTGCTAATAAATTATGTACATGTGGGTGATTTACCGACAAAAAATAAAGACTTTATTTACGAGAATATAGAAATTTAAATTTTAATGTATTGAAATAGTAAAAGAACTTTCAAATAGTTAAAATTTGATGGATTAGGCAAAATCAACTTGATTCCGTGTCTGACATTACCCCCTCCAAACCCTCCTCCCTTTTCTCTTAGCAAAAAAAATTTAGTATATATGTAGAGATTTTCATATTCGCTAAGGCAGCTACTGTGACACATTTTCAAAAAACGTTTAGAATAATACTGTTTAAATAAAATAATTTTTTGCTACAGTGGGTGCATGAGGAAAATGTCTTGATTGCTTTAGAATGATTAATAAATTCGAAGAATACAATGCAGTTAATACCAATTCATTTAGTGTTACTAAAAATTAAACTTAAGCAATACAACGGACCATCCATGGCCATAAAATATTTCAATTAAAAAATCTACATTATAATATTATATAATCCAGAGGATCAGATCACTTACATAAATTAAAAACCAGATTGGAAATGATTTTAAAGCTCCAAAATATCCAATGAAAAGATTTTAAAAACAATGTAAAATGAAATTATATTTAGTATTTTTTAAGAAAATAAAGAACTGTTAGAAGAAAAACGGCGATTGTGCACACGGGCGCCTTCGCCATTCCTTTCGATTGAGAGTATTGTAGGTTACAGAGACGAATAAATAATTTAAATATTGTAATAGCACTACATTGTATGAGATGATTCTATATACAGTCTATCATTTGTGTTTAATATTTATTTTGAACTGGATATGACAATTTAAAGATACTTAATTTCCTTTAATATCACACATGCAAAGAAAAATAACTATTAGGCTTAATAATATCTTTATAAGTAATTATTAGATATTACCCTGATCCTTTGTTTCAATTAATTCAATTAATTTGTTAAATTTATCAATTGGATCTTTTAACACTTCATTAATTTGATTTTTTACTATATCTTTTAATGCTTCCTTAGTAGATTCTTCAGCTGAGTCTTTAATAAAGTTTTCGATAAATTCAGTTACTTTGTTAAATTTATCTATTGGATCTTTTAACGCTTCATTAATTTGATCTTTTACTATATCTTTTAATTCTTCCTTAGTAGATATTATGTCTTTTAGTACTTCTTTAATAGATTCTTCAGTTGAGTCTTTAGTAGAGCTTTCATTAGTTTCAATAATTTTTCTGATTGCTGGAAGTAAATTTTGTGCAATTTCTTCATTTTCTTCATCAATCTTTTTTACATATTTTTTAAGTTCATAAACTGAAGCTTCATAATATCTAAATATTTAACCATATCAAAATATATTTAATAGTTTTAAAATATGAAGTATATGTTGCAAAATATGATTTGATGGTCAATTTTAACAAAATTTGATCAATTAGATCACATGTACCAACACCATTGTGTTTTAATACTAGGAAAACGAGACCATACTTTAATAGTATTCTAAACACTATAGGCCACACCATGAAATCACTTCATGCTTAAATAATTGCGCTATTCTACATTTATATTTATTGGATTTTGCGGTCCAACATTTGAAATCTTGAAATTTTATGCGCGAATTCGCAAATTGATCTGGTTATATTTTAAAGTCGGTACAGGTTTAACATATGTCAAATGCCAGATAGCTGCAAAATCTGACAAATAAAAATTCTGGATATTTGTAGAATAGATAAATAAAATAATTACAAGATATCTGGAAACCAGTTTTTCTTTCTTCTTTGATGGGGAAGCATCCAAAAAAGTTCAATTTCAGCCAATATCTAGTAATACATTAATGTTATTATTTATGTTTTTAAATTATGTATATAATATACAAATAAAATTTTTACCTCTCCTTTCAGATGTAAAAAAGATTCTTCATTATATGTAGTATCGATAGCATTTCCGAGTAATGTAATAAACAAATTCAATAAATAAATTGTTGTAAAAAATGAAAATATAGCTAATAAAATTGATAAAGTCCAGTTATTTGCCAAGCCCCATGAAGCAACTGCACTCGAATCGCCTAAAAATAAATAAAATTAATTCTTTTGATAAATAATTTGTTTAAAATTATTATATATAAGAGTGAAACCTGTGACAGAGGTTACATTATTGATGCAGATAGTGATAGGTTAATTACTATTTTAAATAGTAATCTGCATCAGTTATGCAACCACCTCTATCGTGGGTCTCACCCAATGTTGGAAATCATATATTCACAGTGTTCACAAGAGCATAAATTTTTTAAAAAAATCAAATTTTTTTATTTTATATTCACATTTGTGAACATAAATAATTTTATCTAATTCATAAAATTTTTAATGTGAACATGATAAAAAACAAAGTTTGTTCACAAAAATCATCATAATGTCTTATGAATTTCCAACACTGGTCTCACCCTGTGTATTATTATTATCATACCTGTTAACATAAAGTAAACTGCTAATATAGAAGTACCAAACATTGCAAACAAATTTGTGCTTTCATCAGGAGTTTCAATAAGTGATGACTCTTCCACAGTACCATTAGATGAAATAAATTTATATGTTGGAACAAGATTCCAGGGATTATTAATATCATCAGTATAACTTGGCTGATCATAAGAATATTCACTAGTAGGTCGTAATAAAAGATGCAAGGAATGGGCAAAAGCCAAAACCAGAATGCCTAAGACGACAAGAAAAGAAAATATTTGCTGTGCTACTCCAATCATAATTGCAAAGTATGTCCCAAAATATTCCAAAGCGCGGAAAAATAATAAAAATTTAATTTCAAGTAAAAAAGCAGAAATAGTTACAATCCAAATTTGCGGTTTTTCATCATGTAACCATATAAGTGAAGTTATTGTTGGAGCTAATATAGCAGCAAGATCTATAATACAATAAAATTATAAATAAAGTATTTTTGATAAATATATTTAGCATATAATATATAATATTAAATTAATCATAAGTTTTAAATATACCAAACCAATTCCAAGGACTAGCAATATATGGAATTGGATTATGAAAACATTGACGAACTTCATAAATAAAATGAATGAATCCAAAAATAGTTGTTGCTACTAAAAGAATTGCTTGATTATTCCAAGAAATATCGTTTTCTGAAATTGTTGAAACCAGTAAAAAACAGATCATAAAAATTGTATATATTGCCCAAATTATAAAATAATATCGTCTCCCATAAGTATTCCACTTGAAGTTAATAAGAGCTTTAATGTTCCACCATTTATAATAGTCAGATGAATCAAGTAAAGTAAAGGAATTATCACCTAAATAAAATAATTCAAAATAAGAATATTCTTCAGGATATGTTGCAAACTTCAGTAAAGGAATCATTAATTTTACAGTTTTGTGAGTATAAATAGTAAAATAGGATGAATAAATTGAATAAGGAAATATCAAAACTTCATAAATTCGGGGATGCTGATTTTTTAAAAAGTTCCATTTTTCTATAATCCAAAAAAGTGCATAATCGACAAGTGAAGTATTAATTAAATGAACGTAAGATCCACAATGTTGAATATGAAGTAATTGAGAGGTATTATTTATAGTCATATCATTATCGTTAGAAACCAGCAAATTAGTTTTAGATAAAAAACCTTCTGTTACTCTTAGATTTATGTTATATTGTTCTAAATGTATGAGCGTAGAAGTAATTTGTTCTAAAAACATCATAGAACTACAAATGTCACTCTGAAGCTTTGATAAGCTATATTCATAACAACTATCAAGTAATTGTACAATTCTTTCTTCTTGGTTCCTTCGAATTGATCTATGAATTATATCTTTTCCATATAACTTTATTGCTGATTCATTATTTATCAAATAGTCTAGATCATCTTCATTTATCTCATTATCCAAAAAAGTTGGTGGCGGTAAGAAATCTAATTTCAATTTATCATTAAGAGAAGTAAGATGTCTAATTATTGATTTGTCTGTTTCTGGTTTACTATCATCGCTCCAATAATAAATTAAGTTAATTGATTTTTTTTTAGAATTTACTGTCCAGATTCGAATACCAGAAGAAGAAACAAATATCATATCTCCATTCTTAAGTGGCTCATATATTAATTTATTGCATGATTCAAAATCACGGCTGGTAGTTTCTTCTTTATCTCTATCAGTTTCCTCCTTATTAGACTCAAAACGAACTTTTAAGTCAGTTATATTTCTATCACTTATAGTAGTTGTATTTCTAATAACCCAGGTATATGACCCTACTGTATGTTCTTTGTTTTCCTTAGGTTCCATTGACTTGTTAAACTCTTCTACCTTTTTTAGCTTTCTTGATTCTTCTACTTTTTTTGACTTTTCTGACTCCTCTAACTTTTCAAACTCTTCTAACTCTTTTAAGCCTTCTTCTAAGCCTTCTAACTTTTCTAAAGTAGTTTGTATAAATTGTTTAATTTCTTTTACATTAAAAAATGTATCATTTATACAATGCTCTTTATATTGTAAATAATGTTTCCAACTTTCATTTTGAGATAATCTTTGAATTGACAAAGAATTATTGTTAATGTTTATAATATAATCATAAATAATATTACTGGGGCCAATTGATCTATAATTTTGATATAAGGAGGAAAAGTAGTATGTAAGATATGAGTATTTTGAAGCTTATCAAATTTGTAAATGTGAGGATTCAGGATATAAGAACTATAATTCTCAGTATTAAATTGCGGGCCAGACAAAAACAAATGTTCTTCTTCTCTTGATCCAACAAAGCAAAAATTATGAAGATTCTCTTTAAATTCTTCTAAACTTATAAATAACGTTAATCTCATTATAAATTTATATTTTTAATAACTTAATGCACGAAACACCTACTCTTTGTCAGAACTATACCAGAATTTGTTGAATAAATGTAGACCACATTTTCTCCACTATCCAAAAAGCCTGCTACTGCCAGCAACGTGTTGGAACTGTTTAGTTTCATTTCTAATAAATTCCTAACTCCATATAAATCCCAATTTAGTATATACTGTCTCTCAAACTTTAGAGTTATTAAATTCCATTGCATGATTACAAAGGGTGTTTCGAAAAGCATCAAGAACATCCCATTCGGGAAAATAGAAGCCCTAAAATATTTTTTAAGTTCAATGCAATTTTTGCATGTCCATTGACGTGTGCTATTAGACTTAGAAAAGATATAGGCCCGGAAAACTGGATCTCCTTTGATAACTGCAAGATCTCCATTTTCAAGAAAAGAAATATTAGAAATTTCTCCTTCTAAACCTTGGGCATTCAATACGCATCTCGATTGAGTTTGGATGTCAATAACTTCTGTTAAAATAAATTAATATAAATATGCAGTAATAAAAACTCGATGTTTTTAATTAATTTTAACAAACCAAAATCGTAAGGGTCACATCTATATGTTAATTTTAGTATGACTTGTTTACAATCTGAGACACCCATTAATGCATTATAATACTGTATATCGGTGTTTAAAATTTTGAGTTTAGTGATGTTAATTGATTTGTCAAACTCAGATGTGAGTTCTTTTGTGATGGTCCATCCAGAAATTGTTTGATTTTCATAACTCCAAGTCGCAACATATTGACCATTTAGTGAAATAACATATTGACTAATTGCATTTTCTTTATTGGAATCAGCACTCTTTTCTCCATTAATCAAAATCTCAACTTGGTCATGACTTTCATTTAGTTGTTCTTCAGAACTTGATGAACTCATTTTGGGTATGAATAATAATCGAACTATAATGAAAAGGCGATTGTAATATCGAACACATTCAAATTCGGAAATTTTCGGTAAATCTTCAAAAATAATCATAATAAATCTCCTTAGCAAAACTACAGTAAGTTGCTTAGCAACTTTTTTAAATTAATATTATTGAAACTTGATTGAAACTTGATTTTTTCATCACAGGTTCTTGTTTGTTTATCTCATTGGTATAATTATTTATTACGTAGGGCTAAGTAGGGTTGGGGGCACGGGGCACGAGGCATGCCTTTCGGGCATGTCTCCTGGGCATGCCCCTAGGCATGCCCTTTTTCAAAAAATTTATATATGTAAAAAATTGTCACGTAAAAAATTTTGGGGGCATGCCTATAGGGCATGCCTCTAAATCAAAAAAACCAGAGGCATGCCCATGGGGCATGCCCGAAAATTTTCCCGTGCCCCCAACCCTAGGGCTAAGTTATTTTTTCATGTAGGATGAAGTTTATTATTTATGAGGCGTAGAGGGTAGTGGAAAACTTGGATGAAGCTGATGTTAGTTAGTAGCGTAAGATGTTTCCGGTGGAAAAAACTGGCACTTTTTTTTCACAGAAATTTCGTCGGTCACACGAGTTTTTTCTGCAATACTAGCTAGGGATGGGTTCGGTCGTTTATGGCCAGTTATCGGTTATAATCAATTATTAAATTTTGAAAAGATTTTTTCTTTTGAGTTACAGTATCAATTAAATTGTTTATCATTAAATTCTATTCATACTATCCTATAAGCAAAAAGCAAGACGCCTCCATTATTTAGAATTTAAAATTTGTCATCGATCATAGCTGATTATAATCGGTTTGTAACCGACCGGTAACCGATGATTAATTTTGAAAATTTTGGATTTTGAAGATGGAATCTTGCTTTTTTGTTTATAATGGGTTTCGAGCCCCCAACCTAGCCAACATACTGCTTGGGTGTGACAACTTAACCACTTCTCTAAGTTACTACACCTCTTATAATACAAACTTTTAATACATTGAAAAACTCAAAATATATAACAAATAATATTTGAAATTTTTGATTTAATCTTTAATTTTTTATACAAGGTTTTCAGATTTAGTTTCTAAAATACTTTATGAAAAAATTTATATAGTGCACCCATGCATTGAGTATATTCTCTATTATATAAATATATAAATGTAATATTAACATTAAGGTTAAAATTAAAGCTAAAAATAGATTTGTTTTATTAGTAAAATTGTACAAAGAATATTTTTTATTAGTTACACAACAGGGTTAACCTAGTAAAATTTTGCGTTATGAGCAAATAATTTAAATATACTATTATTTATATTATGGTTAGGGTTAGAGTTAGGGTTTTGGTTGGGTTAGGTTTAAAATTGTGTAACAAATATTTTTTATTAGTTATACAACAGGGTTATCTTAAAAAAATTTTGAGATACATGGGGGTGCACTGAGTGCACTTTTTAACAGAATCTCTTCTTTATTACGGATTTTTTTTAACAAAATATTTTATAAAAACAACTGTAAATAATTAACTAATCAGAATCTTTATTAACTTTATACGTATATAGGTCACTAAATTTATCGCGCTTTTCAAATCATTGTGTCCACTGATTTTCATACATCACACTGGGAATCGGAAATCTAGAAAAAATGCCAATACGTGATTAGCTAAAAATTATTTTTAACCAATCACAGATTTGCATTTATTCTAGATTTCTTATTTCCGGTGTGATGTATGAAAATCAGTGGACACAGTAATTTGAAAAGCGCGATAATATGACTAAAATGACTATATGTGACTTGGTCACTTAGTCATTTAGGCCAGGTCAGGAATGCTCGGCATTCCATCATTATATGAAAATTATAGCCATATTTTATACTCGTTAACTGCGGACTGCCCTTAAATATACTTTCTAAGTCTTTAATACCAGCAAAAATTTTTCTCAATCTACTAATGGATTTTTTTTATTTTTGAATTTACCTTAATATATGAGGTGAGCTTATGGCGCTTTAATGGAAAAATTTTATTATCAAGTTGTTAATTGCCAAACTCATAATATTCGGTCATCGATTTTGATTTTTAGAAACGATTTACAGTTCTAGAGCTTCGTTATATCGAGATCATACTGTAATAGAGTGTTAAAAAAAAATAAAATTGCAATCTTATCTACAAAACCTAAAGAAAAGGTTATTTAAACGGTTAAACTGTACCTTTTTTTGCCTCCCTCTCTCTCTCTACTTTTATTACAGCATCTCTGTTCTTAATTATTGAGATGAATCCATTATCGGCTTCAATAGCTTCATTGTCGACTTCATATCTTGAAACAATGAACTTCTTGGCGCAATCCATGATTTCATTCTCGAGAGCAATATCTCCATTGTATTGTCTTGTTAACCAATTGGATGATTTCTCATAATTAGTGATCCATTCCTGTCGATAATCAACAGCAACTAAGCGTAGGTACCAAATAGTGCATGCGATTACCCAAACATTATGATGAAGCTTAACGACACGCTCTGCATTAAAGTATTTTTGCAAGTGTTGTAAAAATTCATCAACACTTTTGAAGCCATAGTAATCGGCGATCTTTTCATTTAGAGCAACACAACCATCATTGTCTTGATGACCAGTAAGTATACGAATATAACGGAAATTGATATTCTTTCGCGTGATGATGGATTGTTTGACTAAAAAGATGTATACATACATAAGCTATTTTAATTAAAAAGACAAATATTATAAATAAAATGCATAAATTTCCTACCAGGACTTATGATTTCTACTTGTTCTTTTTCAAACGTTTTAATTTTAAAGCGTTCAATAATGAATGTTCTACATAAGTCATATAACCGATCCTCGGTATTAATGTCGTTAATTTCCTTGATGATCCACTCATCACTGTTCGAGATAATTTGCTTCCATTCATTATAGTGTTTCCAACACAAAGCTTTGAAGTACATAATCGTAAGAGCTGTAGATAATATAGACAAGTTACATTTTAAAAGTTCTCGGTCTGAAGATATGTGCTTAAGGAAACCTTCTTTCAATTCATCGACTGATTTATAATTAAAGAAACGCGCTAATTTATCAGTAAATTCAAAGGATCCATTCGCTTTGCGCCAGCTGATAAGCATATAGATATGATTAAGTTTAATGGATTCTCGGGTAAATTCAAAGTCCACACCCTCAGTAAAGGCGGTGGGGATAAATCGAACTTCCAAGTTTAAATGTCCTTTAACTGGCTTATTGCCAATTTTAAGTGGGAACCACTCATTAATAGGTTTAGTATGGTCTTCATTTTTCATTAACGTATTAGTATCCAAGACATAAGTGCCGAGAGGTTTGTCTGATATAAAAAGATTTTCGTCAAATATTTCAAACGAAATTTTTTCGCCCGAACCGTGAACAGAAACAAAATGAATTTCATCCCATTTTGGATTAGCAGTTCCATGACTAACACAAGTACGAACTATTTTAGTTCCAGCAGCATTCATAATGCGGACGTACGGATCAGGATCAGAAAAGGTAAACCAAGAATCTGATTTTTTGAGATCTTGAGCACTTTTAACACAGATCCTAATTATTCCAACAACATCATTACTAGGGATCATGAAGTCATGCGGTTCTTCGTCTACAATCTCACTAACTTCTCGATCATGATATCTATCCTTAGCTTCAAGAGAATCCTTGAATGACTCGTCTTCCTCTATAGCATCCTGTTCAACTTCGAATCTTTTAACAACAAAGATTCTAGCGGCTTCAAGAAGTTCGTCTCGTACTTCCTGATCTTTTACTTGTTGACAAAGCCAATCATAAGCCTTTTGGTATATGCCTGCCCACTCATTTCTGTAATCAACTAATACATATCGAATAAACCAAATCAAAATAGCAGTACTCCAAACGTTAGCATCAAATTGAGCAGTTCTTGGTGAGTAGGAAGAAAAATGAGTTTCAATATGTTTTTTTGCTTCATCAACTGAACTGAAGCCCAAAGCCTCAGCCAATTGAGGGGTGAGCTCGAAGCAACCAGATTCATGCTGGTAAGAGATGAACTGACGAACAATACGGATATCAACTTGTTTTCGGGTAATGATCCGTCTACTAGATATGACTGTGGTAATATGAAATGATTAATAAATCAATATCATAAAAATCGATTAATAATCAGCATACAAGGATTTATGCTAATCACATGCAAATCGATGAAATAAAAAAATGTGTAAGAAAAAACTCTGTAAGCAATAGTTTATTCATAACACTAATTTATTAACCTTTTAACTTATCGACTAACATGTGACTCATCCCGCATCATTAACAAAAAATTTTCTCTTACCAAGGACCCCCAGACTTATTTGTTGATTTTCGTCTATCCATTGAGTAACTTTAAAGCGTTGAATAACAAATTTGTTTGAATAATTATAAAGACGCTCTTCGACTTCAGCATCGGCTACATTTTCACTCAACCAACTTTCAGCCCTATTGTAAATATTCATCCACTCACGACTCTTTTTCCACAATAGTACTTTGAGGAAAGATGTGACAAACACTGTACCCCAAATTTGGTGATCCAAACTACGAACTGCACCATCCTTTTGTACATAATCAGAAAAGGCAGTAGCAAGCTCTTCTTTAGAGCCATAGTTGAATAGTCTTGCTAATGCGTCAGTAAGTTCAAAGCATCCATATTGACTTTGATAAGTCATTAGGAGATATAAGTGTCGAATCGAAATAGAAGATGTGCTAATAACCTCTAAATCCAATTCCAAGTCAGGGAGTGAAAAGAATTCAGCAATAAATGACAATTGGCCTCTGTTAACCCCTTTATAAGTGAGATTAGCATCCATTTTTAATTGCTTTCCTTCCAAAGAACCATTAGGAAGCTCTTTAATTATAGATTTGAAATCAAGAATGTAGAATCCCAAAAGTGTATCTTTAAAGAAAGCATTGTAATCGAGAACTTGTAAATTGACCTTTTCATTAACATCATAAACTGGAATATAAAACACTTGTTCCCAAACGGGATTGCAGCTGTTGTAGATGACACGTGAATCACCGTACACCCAACTTGTGACAATGTTTGATATTCTAACAAAAGGATCGGAAGCACTACTACCAGACCACGAATCGGCTTGCTTAAGATTTTTGGCGCAAATAATTTCAATACGTGCGATACCATAAGGTTTTTGAACTTTATCAAATTTTAAAAATAAGTAATCTGACATAAGTAAAAGAAAAAAAATTAAAGAAAATTTTTATTACCGATTCCTCGCCATTTTTGTGGATATTTGATAGAGTCTATCATTTCAGCAATTTCACATTCGAAAGTACAATCTGATTCCAAAACATCATCCATTACATCATAGGATTCCTTGACAAATGATTTAACAATGTTAAAACATTCTTGCTCAAGGGATTCGTTACCCTTTAAATAATTCCATATCCATCTATAAGACTTTTCATATGTTGGAAACCATTCTTTCCTTTGATCAATAGCAATGTAACGATAGAAATAAAGCATAAGCATTGTCATCCATATTTGGAAACTAACTTGAGAGATTTTTGATGATTTGGATTTTTTATCTTTATATTCATTGAATGCTATACGAAGTTTATTGAGATTTTCATAACCAAGGGATTTGGCAAGATCATCGTTAACTTGATATTCACCAGTACTTTTCTGACATTTAAGAAGACGTTTAATATGTGTGATTGAGATAGTTTCTCGTGTAAGTCGGTTAGTATTAAGATCTATGTTTAAATTAAATAAATAATAATAGAATAATAATCATTAATAATTAATAATTAATATAAATAATTTAAACAATAGACAAAAAATAAAAAAATATGATAATACTGACCATGATCAATTTTAATATCAAATCTTTCACAGACAGCTTTTCTGCCAGTAGCAACCACAGTTTCTTCAATTTCTAAATCGTTAACTGCTTTGCTAATGTATATTTCGGCACGTTCATAAACACCACCCCAGTCACTTCTGTAATCCTTTAAAAAGAAACGTAACAACCACAATATCATGCTAGTGGACCATACGGTAGGATTAGTCTTTAAAATATGCTCTTCACGGCATTGAGATTTATATAATTTAAAATATAATTTTGAAAGAGATTCATGTGAATCATGACCAAATAGATTGGCTAATGCAACAGAAGGAGGAAAACCACCATTTGGAGCTTGTAATGTGACAAGAACGCAAAATGTTGAATGATCAAAAGGTTTCTTTTTAATATTGGTAAAAAAATCAGAAGTAGGTTTTGGAAGAGGTTCTAAGGGGAAGAATTTCACTTTGTAATGAATTTGACCTTGAGTTGTAAGTTTTGCCCAACTAAATCATAATATACGTAAGGATAATGATTTAAAATTAATATGTCGGGGTGTAATTTTAAATTTTGACCTAAATTAAGCATAATTCTGTCAAAATTCGAAATAACGTTCATGGACGTTATTATGCAAAAATTTGGTACAGTACACCCTCCCAAATCTGCCTTTGTATCGGTTTTGATAGGTTATCGGATTTAATATTAATATTAAGGTCCAATGGTTACTAGTCACGTGATTATAAATAAAAATGATTGGCTAGATTATAGTTATTATATATCTACTTGGTCATACAATGCTTGATCTAAGCCAATCAAATTAATTTATATTACCCATATCATATACGTAGGTATCTGATCTTTCGGGTTTGAATTATGGACAGACATGGTGGATCAATTTTTTATCGGGTATAAAAGGTTATCGGGATAGGGTATACTGTATATATATTTTCTGCTAATAAAATTTTTTATACTTACACATCGATATCATTTGGATTACCTTCATAAACATCACTTGAAACTTCTCTGACGAGTTCGTCGGTAATTTCCAAGTGGCAATTTCCAAGCGGTCTATCTTTTATAAAAGTATTAAAATCCATCACTTCTAACATGAATTTCTCACCAATATGTTTAACAGGTAAATAATGAACTTCATTCCACACTGGATTCAGGTTAGAATCTACGACTTTAGTTTGAGCGATAATATCTTTATGATTATCGGCGTGAAATACTCTAACATAAGGGTCAGACTTTCCTAATTGACATTATTGTTAATTAATTTAATTGATTTAATTGGTTTTAATTAGTTTAACCGATTTAATCGAGTGTAATCAATTATACCATTATAACAAATTTATGATCACCATATTAATATCATGGGATATTAATCAAAATCCCGATACGTATATATAAGCGGAAACTTCGTTTCCGCTAATAGAAAATGGCACAGATATTTTAATTACATATTTACCTCCAGCGAGAAAAGAATCGACAGATTTCAAGCCTTTAGCATTTATCAGTTCTAATCTAATCACACCAATAGCGGCGCTGGCTAGTAAAAGGAATGAAAAAATAAATAGAAAACCGATAATATATAAAATCAAGTTTCTAAAAACATGAACCAGAAAATTACATTTCTTTGGCAATACAATAAATTGAGAGGATAAATCACTCTTATAGGTTTTCGATCCGGTGTCAGCAAGCGCAACATATGATCCATCTTTCACGTTAGTCGCTTTAACTTCAATCACAAACCTTGGTTTATTTTGTAATGCAATATGTCCATCATTACTAATGATCCATCGCTGGTTACTAGTCTGAATAGGACTTTTCAAATGGATACGACTTCCTACATCTACTATAAGTGATTGTAAATATAAATATGCTTATATTAATTTTTCTGTTAAATTTACCGTAATGTTTTTAGAATAAATATTCAATTATACATGTGTTCATATCTCTCCGGAGTTTTTTTAATTTTGATGTAAGATACAATGTAGGACACGCATGTAAAATGGATGATTTTAAATTGCATTACAAAATAACTAATATAGCTAGAGCAATATTTTTTCTGTAATAATAAAGATTAGAACGGAAACAAATTTTTTAATTTATTAAATTTTGATACAAGTTAAGAATTTTTAAAGTTGCTAGTTTAAGATTTAATTCATAAATTTTATTTCAAAAAGGATTATCTTCATTTATTTAAATAATAGGAACAAACCTACCTGACTCAGCTTCCAGACATGAAGCTGAAAATTTATTAATTATCTGGCCATTTTTATAGTACCAAAGCTGATAACCTTCATCATTACTTTTCTGCTGAGCGACAATAGCTTTGGTTCCATCTTTAACATCAACTACTAAATTTTTAATAGAGCTGATGGAGGTGGAAGGTGAAGCGGCAGACTTTATGTAAAAGTCACCTTTAGGGAATTGACAAGTCATTACTGCAAAATTTTACCGACAATAAAAAAAACACGTCAATACATTAGAAATATTTAATTTTCAGAAAACAAATTTTTGATGATTTTTTATATGAGTGACAGATCTTCAATCTTACATGTTACACAATATCAGCCCATCTTTTTTACCGGGGTGTAGAAGTTCGTACTGTATTTTGTTAATGAATGTACTGTACTGTACATAAATATAGGCGTACTATGATGTGTATCCGTACAGTACACTTTTTCATTATATAAAATGTAAATGAGTACTGTGCTGTATTGAATATAAATTATAAACGACAGTACAGTACGATACGTTAAGCCTTTTAATATCGTTACCGAAAGCAATTTAAAATTACAGCGAAGTGAAACCCTGTTATCGAGGAGTCAAGTTTATTGCTTACCGGACTCTGGTAAATTATATGATTTTAAATAATTTGTTACATAGATAAATACAATATAGCGATAAATTAATAAAAAAAATAGGTTCATTTTAAAAGTGTAATTAATTTATATGTGCCTTACATTCGAATTTGCGATGTTAATTAAAAACAATAACATTATATTATGAACTTAATTAGGCATCGCACCATGCAATGCGTTTATATATCGCACCATGACTATCTACCAATTAAATTGTATATCTGCAGCATAACGTGAAGATAGGGTGTGTAACGGCCTATTAAATAAAACATAGGCAGGGTTACTAATGATCATCACTAATTGCGGATTTTTATGGGTATCTTATTAAAACAAAAATTATATTTATTGAAATAAATAATTAACTAAATAGAATACTATTTTTTTTTTTAAATTGAATCTCAAGACTAGCTCTATACTGAAATAGAGCTATTTTTTTAATATTTTTATAAAAAATATTTAGAACACTAATAATTAGTGTTTTTGGTTTTGATTATTAGTATTTTTTTACTTTTTTTAAAAAAAATTAAAAAATAGCTCTTAAGCTGGTTTAGAGCTTCAATGTAAAAAAAAGTAGCATATTATTTAATTAATTATTTATTTCAAAAAATGTAATTTTATTTTAGTAAATAGCAATAATCATATTAATGCCATTAATATAATTATTTACTAAAATTAAATTTTATTTTTTGAAATTAATAATTAATTAAATAATATGTTACTTTTTTAAATTGAAGCTCTAAACCAGCTTTACACTGAAATAGAGCTATTTTTATTTTTTTTTAAAAAAAGTAAAAAAATACTAATAATCAAAACCAAAAACACTAATTATTAGTGTTCTAAATATTTTTTATAAAAATATTAAAAAAATAATTCTGTTTTAGTGTAAAGTTAGTCTTGAAGTTCAATTTAAAAAATAGTATTCTAATTAGTTAATTATTTATTTCAATAAATGTAATTTTTGTTTTAATAAGATTGATATATGTATATCAATACTCATAAAAATTTGTAATTAGTAATAATTATTAGTGACTCTATCTATGTTTGATTTAATAAGCTGTTACATATCTTAATATGAAAACCAAGTATAACAATAAATTTTTGTTTTTTTTAAAGAAGTTAATAATATTTCAAAATTTTGCTTATGAAACAGCTTTTAATATTCTGATAACTTGCAAAATTTTATTATATACTATGTTCTATTCTAACCTCTAATCATTAACCTTAAACTATTATATAAAATTAATTTTATATTATGTAAATCTGCAATTATTGTTATATAGAGGTGTGATATACAAGTACATCACATAGTGCAATACACATTTATTAATTTTTTTTTTTAATATTAATGGTAAGGCCATGCCTCTATTTTTATTAAATATTTAATTGAGATTATTATATAAAGCATTAATCTACTTTTAAAATATTATAAGAAGAATAGAAGCTTAGACTAGTTTATCTGTGACCTAAACCAACTGGAGTAGCCAAAGCTCATCTAGATTTGGGTATTAGTAATATGAGAAAAATTAGATTGATATTTGATTCAATGTATATATCAAGAATTTATCTTGGAGCTAATAGTAGTAAAAGGAAGAGGTTGAGATGTATGTGACGAAGAATTAGAAGATAAATTATCAGTAGAAAATAAGCTGTTGATCTTGAAATACACTAGAAAATCCAGATTTTATAATAAACTTGTTGATTAAAATGAAGTAGAAATTTTATAACAAGTGTTGTAGCTATTTTTTGGGTTGATAAGTTTGAAAAAGAGGTGATAATTTTATTTAGTACTAGGCTTAATAAAGTTGAGAAAACTGAAAGTGTATCTGGCATATTGTATATAGTTATGTAGTCTAATTGCTTAATCTGGTTGTATAAGTTGGTTATAATGACCTTTTTATGTATGATAGCAATACTATCAGCCTTTTAAATAATGCAAAAATATTAAATATGCAACAATTTATGTCACGGTTGATGCTGGAAACGGCTGAAGCTGGAAATCAGGGACCCTGATTTAAAAATATAAACCCTGCCAAAATCCACTTATACTCTTTTATTATCAAAACTAACTCTAAATCCTAATCTAACCATGAAAAAAAAGCTAAAAAAACGCACCACAAAAATTTTAAAATTTTCATATTAAAATATTTAAAATTTCCAGCTTCAGCCGTTTCCAGCTTCAGCCGTAATAATTAATAAATATACAAAATCCAGTACCATTTATTTTAGCTTTTAATTTTTAACTTTTATTTAACAAATTACATTAAGTTGGCATCGCTACTTATAATTGAAAGTTTTCCAGTATTATATCAGCATCAAAGCAAGTTTTTTCTTGCGTACTATTGTTGTGTGTGTTTAATTTTAAGTACCATACTAAATTCTTTACAATGAATCTAGTCTTATCTTTCTTATCTGTTACTTATGACTAAAGTTTTGCTGCATCAAAGCTAGTTTTTTCTTACATGTAATTTCTATTGATGTTTAATTACTCACAGCTGAAAATTTCATAACATGCTAAAGAACAAGCCTATTCTGTCCAAAAGTTTTAATGCATCACATCCAGATTTTGATTTTATTAATTTCTTACACATTATTTTTTCACTACCATATTTTCGCGGAATAACACCCACCTGCGCGTTATTTTGAGTATATGCACGTTATTTTGAATACGCGCATGTGTGTTAATTTAAAACAATAGTTAATTTTTGCCAAACCAGATTTTCAAAATAATGCACATGTGCGTTATTTTGGAATAAGTATAGGGACAATTTTTCCAAACAAGATCCATGTGCATTAGACGTATAAATAATGCCAAATAAATTCAGTAAATTTCAGTCGTCCCCGGTATTATTTTATAAACAAATTTTGAAACGCTAATAAGCTTTAAACCTCCAATTTTATATTTTAGTATAAGGTACCTTGTATTTTAAAGCTAGTTAAGGGTTGCTTAAATTTTTATTTCGTTAATTTTACACTCATAAAAAACACGCTTACACAACTATTTATTTTAAACTTATAATATT